GCGGATCACAACTTCAATCAACCTGCGGAACAATTGGCCTCAAGCGGATCACAACTTCAATCAACCTGCGGAACAATTGGCCTCAAGCGGATCACAACTTCAATCAACCTGCGGAACAATTCGCCTCAAGCGGATCACAACTTCAATCAACCTGCGGAACAATTTTTACTTCAATTTTTACGCAGGCAGTTTGGCACCAATCGAAATCTCTACTTCAATTTTGATGCGGACAGCTTGGCACCAATTGAAAGCTCTACTTCAATTTTGATGCAGACACCTTGGCACCAATCGAAAGTTCTACTTCAATTTTGATGCGGACAGCTTGGCACCAATCGAAAGCTCTACTTCAATTTTTATGCGGACAGCTTGGCACCAATCGAAAGTTCTACTTCAATTTTGATGCGGACAGCTTGGCACCAATCGAAAGTTCTACTTCAATTTTTACGCAGTCACTGCCACTGTCGAAATTATGGCTTTTTTTTGCATATTTTCGTCAAAATCGACCAAAGTTTTTTTTTTCAAAAATTTTTAATTATGCCTTCCGACGCCCTAGAAAAACTTTAAAGGCCATTAAAGTTAGCAGGAGATCTTGGAGAATACGATTCCAGCTTTTAAAATCCTTAAATCAACCTCCAAACGTTGAAAAAATGACAAAGTGTTTAAAATATTTTTCCGAAAATCACGATTTCTCACAAATATTTTCACGGAAACGACCATAACTCGATCATTTCTCAACATTTTTTCAATCCGTTTATACCAGTGCATTGACGAGGTTCTTGCGCATCTTTTGTGTGGCTCGAAAGTTTTTTACAACATATTGTTCAGAAGATATTAAAAAAAAAAAACCGTTTTTTACCAACAACAGGTTTTTATTCACGCAATTATTAAGCCACCACGCCTTTACTATTCATTTTACGGACACGCCTCTTTTATGAAAATATCATTGTATAATATAAATAACAATAAATAATAAATGTTCAAATAAATAAACACAATAGTTTTAAATTCTAGTAGTTCTGAGTCTGACAACAGTAGTTAACTTGATAAAGCTTCATTTTAGATTATATTCAATTTTTAACGCCAAAATATGCACATAATACATGGAAAATTGATTAATTATTAAGTTTTTACAATGCTTCATTCTTCTTCAAATTTAAGATTTGTCCCTCAACTCATAATTTAGACCCATTGACGCAATCTAATTTGATGTGGGACACCCTGTATATTTTTTCATTTCTTAAAACTTTCCCGCCAAAACTTGTATCAGAATATTAAGGTATTTAAAATTTAAATATAATATAATTTAATGAATATTTTTTATTTTCNAAAACGTAAAATATCCTTGCTTTCAATGTGACTTTATCAAACATGGTAACCTTAATGTATTCTTGAAAGTAAGCATGAGTAAAAGTGACACATCCTTGTCGTTAACCACACTACAGCTACAGTAGGTCACCTAATGAGACACTTTTATTGTAGGCACAAAATATGACTGTGCCGCAACTATAGCCAAATATCTGAAAATTCGTGTTGAAAAATAATCACAAAGAAGTCAGAGATATACATTTTCTCATTGTGAGTATATTGCCACTGAGGAAATAAACATGCAGATCCATGTCGTACATAAACATTATGAAATGAAATATCCTTGCCCTTATTGTGAATACCTTAAAACTGGAGCAAGTCATCTAAAGAAACATGATGTAACTTTACATAAAGGAGAGAGATACTCTTGATCTCAATGCGACTATGCTCTCCTGGTTAAACTATTTAAAAAGACAACATGTTACTATAAATAACCCATTGAAATATTAGTAATAATTTTATAATAATAAATAATTAGATACTAACACTTTCCTTCCATAATACTTATTCCATGCTAAAATTATAATTACTTAATTAAAACTTAATATTTTTATTGATTGTATATATATAATTTGAGTGATTAATGATGTATGATTATCACCATGTGATGAATTATTGATGATGCTGTGCATTACTCTATCTAAACCATTTTACCCAGCAAGCCAAATGACGTTATCAATACTATATTTATGTACTAACCAGTAAAATTAATAAAATGCATGACTAGTAATCTGGTTAATAAACTGATTAATTATAAATTCGTCGGAACGACGGGTCGTAAAACACTTTAGCGCACCAATAAAGATGCACAAGAGCCTCTAGAATGCACTGAAAAAAACGGATTGAACAAATATTGAAAAATGACCGAGTTATAGGCGTTTCCGTGAAAATATTTGTGAAAAATCGACATTTTCGGAAAAATATTTTCGACACTTTGTCATTTTTTCATCGTTTGAAGGTCGATTTTGATATTTTAAAAGCTGGAATCGTATTCTCCGAGATCTCCTGCTATCTTTAATGGTCTTTAAAGTTTTTCTAGGGCGTCGGAAGGCATCATTAAAAATTTTTGAAAAAAATAACTTTGGTCGATTTTGACGAAAAAACAATTATTTGGACGATCTTTCGGGTGCCACGACCAAACTAGGCATGCCAGAAACGTTTAAAAGCATGGAAAAGATGCTCTGAGACATGGACAATGCTATGCAACAAACGAAATGGCAATAACTTGAAAAACAAAATGGCAATTGAGATTTTAGTAAATTATTTTTTTCGAAAATAAATATTTTTTCACCGAGAAATACAGAAAACGACAATTTAACTGAAACTTGAAATAATAGGACCTCTTTCAACCATTTCTCATACCCCCCAATTGGTTGACAGACTTTTTTTAACTTAAAATAAAACAATATTAAAAATTACCCTAACCATGTGAAATTTTACCCAGCAAACCAAATGACGTAAAAATCACGTAAAATAACGTGCTAAACCAGAAGGATCTTGTTAATAACAGCCTCCTACAGGCCCACTGATTCAAACAGCTCATTTACCAAGTACAGAAATACAGAAAATGACAATTTAATTGAAACTTGATACGATCGGACCACTTTCAGCTGACTCTAAGCCTCCAAGGCAAAATTCAATTGGTTTTTGAATTTTTAATGCGGTTTTCCGATGTCCTCAGCCAAAATACGGTCCCACACTGACAANTCTTTTAATCTTTATGCGGTTTTCCGTACCCCGAAGCCAAAATACGGACCCACTGATCCAATCCTTATCTGAACCATTTGTTATCTGATCCATTCGTTATCCGATCCATTCGTTATCAGATCCATTTGTTATCCGATCCATTCGTTATCCGATACATTCGTTATCCGATACATTCGTTATCCGATACATTCGTTATCCGATACATTCGTTATCCGATACATTCGTTATCCGATACATTAGTTATCCGATCCAATCGTTATCCGATCCAATCGTTATCTGATCCAATCGTTATCCGATCCAATCGTTTTCCGATCCATTCGTAATCCGATCCAATCGTTATCTGATCCAATCGTTATCCGATCCAATCGTTATCCGATCCAATCGTTATCCGATCCAATCGTTATCTGATCCAATCGTTATCCATACGGCTTCGGGATTCAAGTCTTGTATTGCAAGAAATAGAAGTAGATAATTTATTTTCCAGAACTTGCTTTCATACAGTGAAACCCATAATAACGAATACATCGAAAGAATTCATCAAATGTCGTATTCTTCACTTTCTGATAATGGAATGTTGCAGATATTTAGTTTTTTAATTAAATGTTTATATGGAACTCTTTAAAACTGTTCCCGCATATTCATAGCTATTTATTTATTTTCGCACATACTGAAATTTACTTAATATAGTATAAAATTGTCAAGACGACATTTGATAAATTCTTCCGATGTATTCGTTATGAAGGGTTTCACTGTAGCTTTGACAAACTTATCAATGGTCATTGGTCAATCTAGATAAAGTGGTAAAACAAATTTTGATTAAAATTCGTGATAAAAATTTTGATCCCCCATTTATAAAGTGGAATGTCCGATTTACTTCGGTACTGTTATCTGAACAAAAATAAATGAGTTTTATTCCAGCTGAAAATTATTATTTTCATTTCTCTCTAAGTTTGAAGATTGATGCCGCAGCTGTCTAGGAAGAAAACATTTAGAATTATTTACTCCGGATACAAAATACATTATCTTTTTCATTGTTACCCAGGGCAGATACAGAACTAAAGGAAACCGTTGTGAATTGATTAGTTCATTAAACAGACTTTTAAAATTACGTCTACAGTCTCTTTATTTATTAAATGTTTCAGGCTAAGAGACCTTCTAAGTCTTCTTCATTCTGTGAGGATGGGAATACCCCGATAAACGGGATTAATGGACTTAACAGGTATTTAACGAGACTTTGATAAAACATCGTTTGAATATTTTTTTTGCCATACATCATAATAGGGTCCAAATTTCACAGTGTAGGATAAGGTTTTGACCCTGAAAGAAAGTATTGGAACGTACGACCAAAAAACTAACTCTATGCACAGCACTGGGAAAAGCGATTTTTAACAACCATTTTTTTTTATCGATTTTGATGGTTATTATATCATTAGAACTGACGAGGGTCAACCCAGACCGAAATATATTTTCAATAAATGTTGAACTAACATCTACTTTTTTACTCTACAGAGGTTTGGTCCGTCACCATCACCAAATTTTAAAGTTCTTCCTTAAAAATTAATCTCCCCCCCCCCCCTTTTATAAAATAAATTATTCAGGGGTTACATCGTTGGAAACAGAAATTGAAGTGTAATAGAATTTTAGGGGGAAATTGAGAACATTTTTGGCAAAAAGCTTTAAAAAGATGAATTGCCAATACGTACTTATAAGTTAAAGATACTTTTTTTCTTCTATATTTGGTTTACAAAATTCTTATTTTAAAATAAATTTTAGGTCTGCTAAAAACCTGCGCAGATCTCGACAGGGCCGTGGCCTTCCGAAGAAAGGTGAAAATTTAGGCATTTTTCTGAGAGAAAAAATTTGCATGTTAAACGCATAAAATCATATTTGAAATGAGCCCTAGGCTTGTGTTTTAATTTGCGATCATTCTGTTTTCATCTTAAACTTTCATCCTTGACATTTATTTCGCTTTGACATTTTTTTTCTAAATTCAATTGCTGTCCAATTCACAACGGTACCCTTGACAATTATATAGAAGATATTGTCGTTTTTCTTGGTTTAACATCTTGTGTTAAATTCTGATAATTCCTATGTTTTCCTGTAGTGATGATAAGTTTTACAAACCGGTATATAATTCATACTTGATGAAAAAGCTTTTTAAGGCAGCCTTTTGAATCAGGCATAGCCATCTTTGCTTTGGATAACGCTTACAGTCCCGTTAACATTGATTAAAAAAAATTATTGCGAATCTCTTCATTTTCCAGAATAAAACTATCATAAATATGAAAAAATTATTAACATATCAAAAATTTTAACTCAAATTCCGTTTAAAACCTAAAAATGTTCAGATTGTTCATAAACTTTACACAATACACAATCAGTTTTCTCTATTGGGTTTCTGCCATGAATGATAATAGTTTTATTGTTTGATGGGGGTAAGGTCGAATAATAGCTTTCAACCCGTTAATCATCATTAAGTTTGATTCATCCGTAAAGGTCGTTCGCTGAACTCTCTTCTACGCATTTACGCGTTTTCTCTACGCACCAGAGAAACGCGCAGATGTGCACGGATCTGAGTTCAGCGCTTTAGTTTTGGCAGGAGTGTTCTTCAGTTAAGGTTTTACGCTAAGAGTTAATTTTTGTGGAAGGTGAAAGAAATTTGAATGGGGGGGGGCGGGTTATTTTTATTGTGAAATTCAACCCCCTTTGGAATGTGTTTCCTTTTTCCTTCATTATTATTATTAAAATCTATTTATTGTTCATAAATGCATACAATAAATACAAACATATTGATATAAGTTAGCATTTCGATTAATTGGTTTTATTTTCGATTACGAGGCATATATAGGCATTTAAGACATATAAAAAGCATTTCACTCAATACTGCCTAATTATACCATAATTTGACATTCACACATATTGTTGAAAATTGGAATTTAAGACTCGGTAATAAAAACTCGACAAAATTCATAACGAGAAATGGAAAAACTAAAAAGGATCGAAAATTTAAAAAAAAACAGGAAAGAACAAAAACAGATAACGTGAAAAAAGGAAGAGACTAAAAGCATTTCACAATTAATCTAGCTTTAAACTTAATAATCTATATACGGCATTTCACCTTGGTTTATCAGCATAAATGAAAGAAAAGGCTTTCTTGTTTTGAAGGACTAGACTTAACAACAATTTTGAAATTACGAAAAAATCGTGGATTAAGCTCATTAAATTAAGATTATAAAATTGAGTGCTTGAAATGTCCTTTTTGCTTCTTGGTAAATGCATCTTCAGTACCGGTGTCCTGCATGAAGCGGACGCTTGCATGGTGCGGACTCGACCCCTAAAGTTTTAACCATTTCAACACAATATTAGGCAGAAAAGGCAATGTTTAAACATTAAAATTTAATAGTTAACATATATACTAAATATGCGTTTAGTTCTTAAATGTATATTAAAGAGGGTAAAGGCAGGAAAGGTATTTCCTCTTGAATGTCGTCTTCCTTTCAAACAACAATCAATTAATATTTTAAGACATGGATACTTTAATGTGTTTTCCATTCGAAAAACATCAATAAATTACGGAAAATGTCATTGCATTGCGTTTTATGTCAAATAACATTGTGTTAAAACGGTTAAAACTTCAGAGGAGCCCGCCCCATGCTAAAGTCCGTTCGATTCATGACACCGGTTTTCCATTTTCATATTTAGTGTTTTTGCCAAGTTCTAGATATATGTTCCAAGAAGGGGTGGGGGGCGGGGGATGAGGTGAGGGGTACTTTTGATTTTTCTCTCGTATCTGCATTATCCAGATGTTTTGTAATAATAAAATGGTATATTTAAGCTGGGAGATTTTCGTGAGCAAAGGTTTACAATGCTTGATGCGCAGTGGTGACCGGGAATTTATTGCGTATTTACACCCCAGCCTAGCAACTAGTTTACCGGATTTTCTTAATGCAGCTGTTGCACAGCTGCTGAATACGCAGTAAATCAGACCGGCAGAACATTTAGGAATTGCGGGGCGGGAAATGAAGGGGGAAGGGGGGGAAGCTTAAATCAGGGGTGAAGGGTGCAATCAAGTATCCATTGCTAATTATTTTATTAGCTTGTGAAAGTGGATGGGTAAGAAAAGGCGGAGTATCATGTTTTGCACTCAAAACAGCCCCAACCCCCCTTTTTAATACGAAGTTTTACATAAATTGGGTTCCACAATATAGTGTAAGAAGTTTTTTTTTCTTACATCATTCATTCAATAAACAAGGGGTGAAAATATTTTATTTCAAACTTATTTTCTATCAAACCCTTTTTTAAAGAAACAATCGTTTTCATAAACAACCCTTCGTTAACGACCACTAACGACGGCTCTTCGTTGACGTTAACGACTTTAATCGACAAACCTTCGTTAACGACATTTTTTGGTCGGAATATCCGAGGTCAGAAAACATTCAGTTTTGTCTCGATAAAAAAAATTACATTCATAACCTCATCTTCCTAGAAAAAAACGTGAAAATCGTCCTAAAACTCAAATTTATTAGCGAAATCTTTTTCGAAAATTTAAGTTTTTTTAAAGGTATCGTTAGATTTTTTAAAGCTATCGTTAGATTTTTCAAGCTATCGTTTTTTGTTGTTTGAAATTTTAAACCGAGTGGTTCGTTTTCAAAACAATCTTTTTTCTAAAACGAAAGATCGTTTTAAGAAAAAAAACGAAACGAAAAACCATCGTTTTTCTATCGTTTTTAAGAACTATTAACAACCCTAGTTTTGATATCTGTTGTGAATCAATAGAGAACATTGAAATTATATATTATTATTTGTTCGCAAATAATAAATATGAAATATAAAGGATAATACAAAATCTGTAAGTTTAGGAGGTGCTGGTGGAAAGGGAACCTGGGGAAAGCTAGGGGACGAGATTGACCTCCCCTGGGTTGACCCCAACGACCCTAACTACGACTCCGACACTGTGGAGGGGAAGGATAAGAAGCTCGTTAAGTTGAATACTCTGGCTCCGGAGATGTCGGAGGCTGATGTCAAGAAGACTGTTGTTCCACTGGTAAACATTTTTTAGGGGGGTAAAAATGAATTTTTTTAACATTCTTTACCCTTTAAATTTGCTTGCACAAGTTTTAAGAGACGACTTGTTGGGCGGGGTAATGAATAATTGGACATTGAAATGCAACTTTTTCATTCTTTTAGATACCTTTACCCCAAAACTCATTGATTTTTTATNGGGGGGGGGGGAATACTTTTAAATTGGGGAGAGAGAGTGAAGAAAAATGTATTTGATAAAATCACACCTCCTTTCCTAACTATCTTTTTAATTGAATTGAATTTCAGTTGGATGTTCAATTGTTTTTAGTTCTTTTTTAAGTTAAATTGAAAAGAAAATTTGTAATAAATGTATATTTTGTCTTAATGTTTCCTTTTCCCCAGGGTAATTTATTAAGAAATATATCCGTGAAAATTCAAAAAGAAATAAAGTAATATTTTGAATGTTAAGATTCTGGAATATTTTGAGAATGGGGCCTCCGAAGAGGTTCTTGTGTCTCTGGATGAAATGTTGGAGAATCTGGGCTCAAGGAACAAAATTTATTGACCATCAAAGCACAACTTTAAGTAACAAAGACCCATAAAACTGTGGTAAATAAAGACTACTGTAAAGTCCTAATTAGTCTCATGAATATGAAACTACAGTCCTATCAACATAAATTTAAAATGGTAAAAATTATAACAAGTCATATTTCAATTCCACAGTTCAATGGGAAACACTAGTTGAATATAAATAATACATAACCTTAGAACTCAATTGTTTATTACGAGCAGATATAAGTTGAGAATTCAAATCTCGAAAAATAAATTTTTCTAGAATATAATTCTAATGATTTTGTTTGTACCAGACGGTGGATGGTTGTTTGTTTAGCTATTGAGCTGTCCATGGACCGTAAACCTAGTCACAGGTAGGCAGGAACTTAACTTTGTGTTTTTCGTTGGTTCGCTTTTGGATAGTTTTTTCATTTTCACTGTTTAAAATTTGACAGGAATGATTTTAAAATTGTTAATTCTAGACCTGTACTTGATGATGTCATTTTAGACCCTGACAAAATATATGCAAAGAAACGAACCTGTATAAATGATCGTGTTTTTTAGGATAAATATATTGGAAAGTTGATCAATATTCAGAGTCCTATAAAAGGTTTCATTTAAAAAACTATCCAAAACGATTAACAACACAACGTAGGATCTTAATTAACGGGCCTATAAGGGGGGGGGGGGGGTTGAGTTCGAAAAGTGTAAAAAATAAAAAATATTTAAAGGAATATTACTCGCTTTAACTTAAATTTTTCTAAACCTCATATCTTTGCAATTAGCAGGTTACCAATATATCAGCTTNTTCGAAAAGTGTAAAAAATAAAAAATATTTAAAGGAATATTACTCGCTTTAACTTAAATTTTTCTAAACCTCATATCTTTGCAATTAGCAGGTTACCAATATATCAGCTTTAAACGAGCTCAGTTCCTTGTCAAGTTTTAAAGTAAAATTATCGATTTGCATTGACAATTATTCCATTTTATTTCCCGATCCGGATCCTGGATCCGCACTGGAAAAAGTTCCATAAAATTTACTGAATTATTCTATCAAAGCAGAATTTTCAAATTTTTTGTCTTATTTTTATGCTAACTTGATGAACCATTCAGAAATCAGGAAATTTTTTCAATAGTTCAGATTTGGGTTTTGAGAGTATTTTTTTTAGTCTTTGGTTGATATTTTGCCCTTTGGATCTGGATTCGTGGATCCGCATACTATTGCGGATCTGGATCCGGATCCAGGACGCCAATATCTTCCGGATTTAACGGATCCGGATCCTAAGTACAGCAAAAACATTCTATTTTTACCAAATATATTTTAGGGAATACACATCAGTGTTATTGTCCCAGCTCTACCTCAAGATTGTCAGTCAACGAGATATTGGAAAAGCATTTGATTATCTGCTGCGGACCTTGAACGATCTGGTTCTCGACACCCCGGATGCATCAACCATTCTCGGCAATTATATTGCCCGGGCAATCGCCGACGATTGTATCCCTCCAAAATTTTTGAAATCATACAAGGTTTGTACAGTGATTTAAGATCGATTAATCTGATGTACATAAATGTTAATAAATGTAAATTTTGTATCACATCTTCTTCCATAATGCTCTGCCCACGTTGTTTCAATTGGGTCTTATCCTTAGTTCGTCCAATTTAATTTTTAGTGCGTCCTCGTGAGTGCTTCCATCTTTAGTGCATCCTCATTATGAGTGGTCCATCTTTAACGCGTTCTCGTTGGCACAAAATAAAAATAGATAATAATTAATTTTGATAAGTTTGTCGTTTGAGACATTTTGAGTTATTTGTTTACCTTAATATATTTAGGGTCATGTATCTGATGCTGAGGCTAAGAAGGCCCTGTGTCGAGCGGACACCTTGTTATCTATGAAGCACGGGTTGGTGAGGTTGGATAATGTGTGGGGGGTCGGAGGAGGGATTAGACCGGTTAAATACCTCGTCAACAGGATGATTATGTTACTCCAGGTACACAGTGCACATATCACTAATATTAGGTAGTGTTTTTATCAAATGTAATCTACAGTTTCTTTGAGCGTTTTCAATCTTTTGAAATTGTGGTCCAACATTAGATTACTTTTTTAATACATCTACACAATTCTCAATAGAAACTAGCGATAGTAAAAAATTCCTAATCTTCATAAAGAAAAGCTAAAAAGAAGAAATTGTTGAACATTTTTAATTTGTACAAAATATTAGTAAATTTTACAGAAATGTTCAGAACCTGGATTCGAATCCGTTTTGATTCGGATCCGGATTCATGTTTTTTTTCAGTCCGCATCAAAACTAAAAGGGAAGAGTAAATATATATCAAAATGTTATCTAGGAGTACCTGTGTAGCTGTGATATTGCTGAGGCTACTCGTTGCCTCGCTGAACTAGAGGTTCCTCACTTCCATCACGAACTCGTTTACGAGGTTAGTTGCTAGTTCAGGATTGATTTACTCCTCCCTGACCCCTCCCCCCACAAAAAAATGTTCTTCCTTTTGTCAGAATAACTTTTGCAATTTTTATCGCTAAATAGGGAACAAAATGTATTTTAAGGCTGAAAAAAAATACTTATTCCCGGGTGAAAAAAATAACCATCCCTGTAGCCCATAACCCCCAACGTAAAAGTAACTTCTATCTGTATTGTCATATTTTAATCTCATTTAAAGCCGTTGGTGTTAAGACTGTATAAACTTAAATATTAAAATTCATAACCCAATAAAAAATTTGGTAGTAAATCCTAATAAAATGGGGGGGGGAAATGGTTTTTAAATTAATTCTAGCAAAACAAGTAGCCTAATAAAAAAAAAATTGAGAAAATGATACTTATCGATGTAAATACAAGTGATCAAGTTCTAATGAGTTGGTATTTAAGTAAAGAAATAACTATTAGAATTCTAGATTCGGCTTAAAACAGCAATATGTTATTTAATCTTTATGTTCTTAATATTCAAGCAAATAATTTCTTAAATCTTAAGTCATAAAATTTTGTTTTCATTCAAAGTTTTTTCTTTCGACATTCCATTAAAATCTCTCAAAATCACTTGTTATTTTTTAATATTATAAGTAAATGGTAAGCACATTTTTAAGAAGTTTTCCGACTTTTTAACTTTGAATATTTCTTATTGTTTTGTTCCAGGCTTCAGTGATGGTATTGGAGAGTACTCATGTTAAAACTGAGGAAGCAATGTGTAAATTACTCTCCTCACTCTTCCGTAGGTAGGTTTTTGTTATATACAGTGAGAAGCAAAAAACTTGGAAGACTACTTTTTAAACTTATGTTGACAATAGTATTAGTCGAATCAACATACAACAGTGTGAATAGACTTATTCAACTTTATAAATTACTAGTTGAACTTGACATCAAATACACCATTCTTGCGTTTCGTCTTCCTTTTCCGCAGTATCCAATAAAGGGTTAAGTCCTGGCCAATCTAGTTAATCATTACGATCGACATTATATATTCTTTCATAACTATCGACTTTATAACTAACAAGCCTTTGTCACCCCAAGGCTACCCATAGGTGTCCACAAAAAATGTCAGCCTATTCGGTCTAACCGCTTGGCCGGCTATAGGGAACATATATACGAATGTTTTGTTTTATTATATAGATGCTCATCTTAATTTTGCTTACTATCGATTTTTTTAGTTTTGTGATAACGATTGATCAGATGAGGGCCGGGTTCCATCGTCTATATGAAGACATGGAAGAGTATAGTTTGGATGTTCCCAACGCGTACACTGTTCTCGGCAGATGGGTCATTCGATGCAGACAGGTAGATGATAGACGATACTATTTAGTTTACAAGTTGTCCTAGGACTCTGAACTAATTTTCTTCTGAATTTAAAGGTAGAATCTCCTTACAGGGAAAATATTTTTGACGATTTGTGAGGGCAAATATAAATAAAAATTTAAATACCAATATCAAACGGCAAGAATTTCAACCTTGATGATGCTTTTACCCCCCCCCCAAAAAAAAAAAAATCCCTCTTTAAAATTGTTCATTTTCCCTGCTTAAATGATTTTTCAAAAGCTGTAAATACATTGCACAAGATATTCTGCGTTAGCACACTTTTCGAAATGCATTATTTATACATAACATTTATCTTTATAATGCTGCAGGCTGGAATCATCAACGACGAGATAATGCGTAAAGTTCCTCAGCGTGGACGCAAACGTTTTGTCTCTGAGGGAGATGGAGGACTAGTCAAGGACTCCCTGGCCTGGTAGATGAACTCCCGGCCATGAAGGATTCTGAGAATTTTTAGTTTTTTCAGGACTCTGTTTTTTTGAAGGACTAATATTTAAAATAAGATGTTCTTTATAAACAAGTATCAAGAACAGAGGTTTTGGAAGAGTTCTCAGGCCTCGAAAGACAGAATATTCTTCGGGTCTCTGCTACCTTAGAACTTTTTTTTGAAGAACTTAGTTATGAGGTCTTGTTCGTGAAGGACTAATATTTCTTTAAAAACCTGAAGGACTGTTCTCGAAAATACATAACGGTTCACATAGAATTTCCTGTCGATGTAAATATTCTTTCGGTAATGGGTAACTCTACTGTTATTGAACATTTTACCATTTCTATACTGAAACAGTTACCCATTAAACATATTGTACTCCTCAATAGATTTCATCTTATTACGTTCAATGGAGTTAATTTAAATTTCTTGTTAAAATATTGCAACTGTCCGCTAATATCTCATTGTCGCCCAGTCGACCTCTTTGTTAAATGCATATTTTTTTAATAATATTGTAATTTTTGTTAACACTTTAACCAACCCTGTTTCTCTGAAATATGAGGAATATAAGAGGTTTTTGTGTATTGTATTTGGGGTATATAATCATAATAATATGGGAACCTACATCATTATTTTTTTTTTGGAGGTATGTTTTTTTTTGGGGGGGGGGGGTGGAAAGGATAATGAATGTGAATTATATACCCTTTTAAGAATGTGATACTTTACCAAAATCTTAAATAATATTTTGTAAAATTGAAAATCTGATGTTATTTTCCAATGAATCAAGATTTTCAGTTTTTCAGTGCTAAATTGTTAATTGCGCTGAAATTTAAAATTTGTAATTTGAGTTCAATAGCCGTACTGTTGCCGATACAATGTATTAATTTTGGTTTATCATTAGTTAAAGATGTACTTAGTACTCTTGAACTCAAGTGAATTGTTATACCTTGCTGTACATTTAGTTCTATTGTACAGTGTTTACACTGTACATTATGTACTGTGTTCTTTTGAACTTTTACAAGAACTTACTCTTGAACTTGTACAAGAACTAACTCTTGAACTTGAACTAACTATTGAATAAACAATTACATCTCTTTACTTCACTTACTTAACTCTGGTTATTCTAAAGGTTTTAGGCACTTGCTACTTCACAATTGAGCAGTTTCCCCAGTGGCAACTTCCAAGTCTGATGCAGCCACAGCGCTTGGCCCCTGGAAATTGCACATTTGGGAAATACCAAACCTTAATCAGGAGACTAGTCAAGGTACTCAAATTGGGTTCTACATTACATTCGAAAGTAGTTTTTCCAATCAAGAATTTATTCAATCAGAATAATGTTTATTTTAAGTTTTTTTTAATTCACAAATATTTGATAAATGTTTTTTAAAGATCAGTGATCTTCTTTCTCTGATTTGATATCTTTTTTAGCTGATCTGCTGTCTTCAGTTTTGACTGGAATGTCTGACTCAACTGATTTAAGGTTCAGGTTCGAACATAAATTCATCGTTTAATATTCTTACAGGTTGGAGAAAAATAAAATCAATGCACTAATACCCCCCCTAGCCTTAGAAAAAATTGCTCAGTCGGTAGAGCGGGGGAAAGCAGGCGGCCATAATATATAACATTTTCCCCTTCCATGCCACATATATTTGTTGTCTTCCGGCAGCCATGAGCCATAACCACTCAGTCTTCCTGCAGAGTTTACGTTTATAAATGATAAATTTAGGGGGTTGAAATTGCAATTTTTAAAAATCCTGCCACACTACGCGAAATATGAGACCTTTAAGAAATTTTAGAAGTTTATTGAAGATCAATGATATATTGAGTACAGTTTTTAAACTGCTTTACATTTTACATAGTAAATTTTACATTATTTTATACATTGTTGGCACCTAGAGACAAATTGTTAAGGGTAGTCTGAAGATTAAAGAATAAGAAATATTAGAAAAATAACAATATTAACTGTCATTACCTCAGCGTCACATGTTTCCATAAAAAATTTCTATTTTGCAATTTTTTCGTTAAATAGTGCGCATTTTCGGTCATGTGCCCTTTGTACTTTAACGAGTTTTTACTTGCATCATTTTTATTGTTCATAATGTTTTTAAAACAAGTCATTTTAATGGAAAGATTGAATTTATTTGTGGGGAAAATTAAAGGGACAGACCGGCTATGTAAGGTAGTTGAACTGAGTATGCAGTGTTAGGGACAAATTCTGAAGGGTTCATTTGAGACATATAAAACTTTTTAAAGAACTGTAAATCCTGAGTTTGAGCGCAAAGTCGACGTTCAAACCGTACTTAAGGGTGGATACGTTTTCAGAATTGTTTATTTTTAAATTATTAAATGAAGACAAAAATTTAAACAGGTTGAGAAAATAATATTAAATCGTATCATCGAAAATAAGTAATCTTGTTCATTTATTAGTTACTATTTTCTCATTATTCTGGTTTCTCATTAGTCACAAAGATTTTCTGCAGATTTTCTGGAACTTTTGGACATTTGAAGAATTTGTAGAAAAACTAGTTTACTGAATCATTTTTACTTAATTTTTTTGTCGCTGTTATTTAATAGTTTAATAATTTAATAGCAATAGTCATTATTTCAATTTAAAACATAAATATAAAATTCTTTATAAATATTGTTTGCTTACGTCGCTGGATTTTTGAAAATCATAATTTCAATGCCCTAAATTTATCATTTCAGAAGGTAGTAATTGCCGGAAGACTCGAATACTGTAGGGTCGTGGCTCATGGCCAATTGTTGCATGGAAGGGAAAAATGTTGTGGCTTATTGCCGCCTGCCTTCCCTCTCCGGGACAGGGTTAAGCCGGAAGATGTGGAAAGAGGGGCAATAATATCCCATTCCCCAGGAGCTTAGGGATGATCATGAACCCTCTCCCCCCTTAAAATACGGCTGTCTTTTTACCCTGCAGTTTATTTACTATAAAAAGATAAAGAACAAGTTATATACTTATACAAAGAAACCTTGTACCTTGAAACTGAAAATGATTACGCCTAAGTTAAATAAAGCATTTAGTTTTCTTTCTTAAAGGGACCGTCGACATAATTTCAAAAGATATCGTCGTTATTTTATGTTGTAAGTGTTTAATTCTGACACATTCTTTCACTGTATGTGTTAAATACATCCGAATTTTCAGAGAAACTTCAAGCAAAAGTTGTTAATTTTATCTGATAATTTATGATATCTCATTTACCCATGTTCAGACAAAGATTTAAGGATAACATTGTAAATCGGACATGGCACTCTTAAATGGAGGGTCACTTATAATTACTTATTAAGCCCTTTGAATGACCTACTTATAGTTGCACTTTATTTTATTTGAATAGTAAAGATAAATAATATAAATAATACTGATTTCACTGTTTAACATCGGTGCATGGAGGGCTACTTAAAATTGTAACTTTTCTGTCTTTCATGCCGCAACATTTTCGTCTTCCAGCAATTATAACCTTTTTACCAATTCTAGTGCATTCAAATTTCGATTTTCAAAAGTCCTTGCGCATCTTCCGCATTACACTAAAAAACATTTTTAAAGATTTGATTTACACACCGAGGGGAAAAGGAAAATCACTGCAGATTTTATCAAAAATAAGTATTTTGTCGTTTCTTCCTAACTTATGCAAAATAAAGAATTACAAATTAGTATGGTGAAACCTTATCAGCATTATTTAAAGTTAAAATTTAAATATCTTTTGCACGACGTGGCTGGATAAAAAGTATTTATTGTACTAAATATATCTTTAAAAAAAGTAATATTTGCCGGAAGATTGAATAGTGTGACTCAAGGATGCAATGATGGAGGGAAGGACGCCATGAGCCTCCAACCCTGCAGACAAGAGCCTCCCAGAACAGAAGTACTTTTTAAAACTCTTGTTTCGTATGTATAATAAAATGTTTTTGACAATTCTGTCGACATAGTGGCATGAGAGGTTTCTCAAAAATGATAAGTTTTTATCAAATAGCATAAATAGTGCCTAATTATGAATAATGAAGTGATATTTAAAGCTTTAAACATTTTTTACACGAAAGGGAACATATTTTGAGAAAAAAATTTGAATTGAATTTCATTTCATCTTTTATGATCTTTGATTTAAGCAATACCTTTTTTGTAGTTCAAATGAAATCTAGAAAATTTTTATCATTTATTTAAATCTAAACATTTTTCAAAAAAAGGTATCGATTAAATCAAAGATTATAACAAAACAAACTAAGTTTACTCAAGATATTTCTCCAGATATCTTCCTTTCTGCGTAAGAATTGTTTTAAGTTTTAGTATAAATCTTATAAACCACTTTATGATTTCATTTATGTTTCTAATCATGACAATTAAAAAATATTACTAATCTTTAGTAAAATTCTTATGCCACTACGTCAAAAAATTGTTTAAATTTTGTATTACACATAGAAACCAAGATTTAAAAAAAGCTGTGCTGTGGAGTGGAGGCTCATTTACTGCATAGCAGAGGCACGGTCTGCAAAGTTGAGGCTCGATCTGCCTCGCAAATCTGAGAGGCTCGTGTCTGCATAGTGGAGGCTCGTGGCGTCCGGGGGTTCCCTCCCTCATGCAAGAAGACGAAAAAGTTGAGAAGTGACTTAGTCGAGAAATTTACCACTAAAAAAATTAATTAAGGCCGGAAGATACGATATTGTTGCATAGATCTAATAGATATGGCTTATAAGGATCATGCCTGTCAAGACAAAAAAAATAAGAACTTGTGACATGGCTCGTCTTAACACTGATTTTCAGAATTTTATTTTTTCGAAATTCACCGTTTTTAGAACTTGTACATGTAAATCATGAGTATGAGGTGAAGGGGGGTGGCGAGTATTTGTTAAAATTATTGTGGTAATAAATGTTTATTTCTCTCAATTTACAAATAACAAACAACGTAAAATATGAACATAAGCTTAAATTAGCACAGTAGTGATTTTTTAATTAAAATGCTTTTTGATATATTTAACGGACGACAGTTAACAGCTCCGCTTTATTAAAAACCTTTTTATAGGTATTTCCAACGAATAAGACTTTTAATGACGACCTTGAACTCTTGAATTAAAACGATTTGAAGGTTGAATTATGTTTCTACCCTGCTATATATTTAGTTAAAAATTATATACTTCATGATTTGCCAAGGAAAGACAGAATTACGGTGAACCAAAAAATAAAGAAAAAAGACCAAGTCAATTTCTTACATTAGTCTTGGAGGTCTCATCCTCTGTGGGTAACCCTATATCTGTATAAATTGATAATTTTTCCTTACGATTCAATTAAGATTGATAGATCTTACATGCTGAAACATGATTAATCAGTTACTAACCAAAATTTCAAATAAATGCCTCTCTAATCCATTCAAAGTTTTTTTTGGATTACCTCCATTAAATAAAAAAATATTTTATTTACCGACAAGCAAAAAAAACTAAAGATAATCAATTAAACTTGGACTTTTTAATACGAGAACAAACATTTTTCAAGAAAACTGAAACCCTGTGTTTTCTTGAGATTTGATTCTCTCAAAATCAGAATTAATTAGTTAACATGGTGTGTTGAAAAGAAATGCCACTAGAAATAAATTACATATTTTTAACAGAATAATTTTCAGTATTAATTGTCATCAACGTAACCAAGTAAGTACATGGTTGTACATCTAGTGTAAAAACTGTTCAGTGTACATTGTACAAGCAGAATGTAAGTAAGTACACTTTTCCGTATTTGTTATCACGATTCACTTCAATTCGTCCGGAAAAATATGAATAAAAGTTTTTTTTTCAGGAAGTATTCACTGTTAAAGTTTATGTTTCTGAACAAGGTTTGCAGTATCCCCAGGCTGAGCTGTCCGAAATATATTCGCCTGCAGGGCCTACCCGTATTGAGCACCACGGTTTTATGTCGTACCAATTCTTAACGCAAGATGTCTCTGATTTCCCTTTGTAAATCATTGGAAATTTACAAGGTGTACCACTCTCAGCACACTGTTCAGCTTCTGAAAATAAAAATACATAAATGTCTAAACCTAAAATTTGGTTAAAGAGACTGTAAGCGTAATTTCTACTTAAAGGGACTGTCAAGAGAAAACAATTTATGCAAAATTCACAACAGGTAAAAATTTCTGTGAAAATAACATGGATTTAAACAATAGAGAAAGAGAAGGATGCTAACAGAATACTTTTTGAAAAATTAACGTCGATACTCAGCTACTATAATCCAAGCTTAGGATCCATTTAATTTTGATGTGGATTCTGCATTTCTTTCGAGATTTATTGATTTTTCAACAAATTGAAATTTTAATTTCCTTCTCCTCGCTTACTTTTATGCAAAACTTGATGAAGCATTCAGGAATGAAGATATTTCTAGTAATCTCTCATTTCAACATAATTTTTTTAGGTAAAAAGGTTTACTGAATTGTGTTTGGTAGAGTTTGGCCCTTGGATCGGGATCCGTGGATCCGCATATTTATGCAAATCCAGATCAAGGAAGTCAAAATGTTGCAGATCCAGATCCTAAGGACCCACTTAAATAAAGGGTTTGATGGTAGTTATATAATATATATATATATTTCAGTTTTTAACTTCACATTTTTATTAAATTAAGAATTATACTAAACATAATGTTTCACGTCTATCATGACGATCCTCAGTAGTTATATATAAATATTTATCATTAAAGTACATAATTAACACTTTAATGACGGGATTTGCCAAGCCAACATTGGCCGTCTTTAATGGCAAACCCGGATGTAATTGTATGATATAATTTTTAAATCATACAATTGGAGGTGTTTAGGAAGAGACAAAGTGCCAAGGATCCGGATCCGCAAACATATGCGGATCTACGGATTTCGATCCACTTGGCAAAATTTAAATCACAACTGAAAAAAATCAAAACCCAAATCTAAACTGTTAAAAATACATATCTGATTCTCTGAATGAATTATCAAGTTTTATCATGAAAATACGCTTAAAATAGAAGAAAAATAATTTGAAATACTACTTTCGTTTAAAAACTTAGTAATTCAAAGAACTTTCATGACCATTTTATTCAGGACGGATCCAGAATCCACATCAAAACGGAACCTTATCACTCCGTGATGAATCGGGAAAGTAATTAACGCAACCTCATCACTGCATGATGAATCGGGAAAGTACAAAACGGAACCTTATCACTCCATGATGAATCGGGAAAGTACAAAACGGAACCTTATCACTCCATGATGAAAGAATTCACTTTATATTCCGTCTCCAGTCCTTCTAACTGTATAGGTAAAAAGGTTTACTGAATTGTGTTTGGTAGATAGTTTGGCCCTTGGATCCGCATATTTTTGCAAATCCGGATCAAGGAAGTCAAAATGCTGCGGATCCAGATCCTAAGAACCGACTTAAATAAATGGTTTGATGGTTCTATTATACAGTGTCTAAGATCCGGATCCGCAAACATAAGCGGATCTACGGATTCCGATCCACATGGCAAAATTTAAATCACAACTGAAAAAATAGCTTTTCAGTTTTAACCATCAAAATCCAAATCTAAACTGTTGACCATTTTATTCAGGACGGATCCAGGATCCACATCAAAATGGAACCTCATCACTGCATGATGAATCGGGAAAGTAATTCTGTAAAAAAAATTAACTTTATATTCCGTCTCCAGTCCTTCTAACTGTAGCGTGCACACTGACCTGTATATTTGTATACAGACACAGTTATAATAAACAGAAAACAGGTTGGCATGCATAATTCATTACAATTCTTGGTAATGTTTTTCAAGAATAACAATACGATATAATATAGCAGGACTTGAACATAAATTGTAGTGTAAGAATTTACATAAACTACATAAACTACATAAACTACAGAAACTAAAGAAAATAAAGAAACTTGAGAAAGAAAAGTAGTAAAGAAACTGCAGAAAGTTAAGAACATAAAGAAACTACAGATAGTTAAAAATAGAACATACATAAACTACAGAAAGTAAAGAACATAAAGAAACTACAGAAAGTTGAGAACATAAAGAAACTACAGAAAGTTAAAACATAAATAAACAACTTAAAGAACTTTAAGAAACTAAAGAAAGTAAAGAACATAAAGAAACTACAGAAAGTTAAGAACATTAGGAAACTGCAGAAAATACGAGAAACTACAGAAACTACGGAAATACAAGAAACTACGGAAACAAGAAATTACAGAAAGTAAAGAACATAAAGTAACTATAGAAACTACAGACAATATATTATGCTTACCAATCGTTAAACCAATCTGAAATTAAACAAATTTTCTTAATATCACAAAATCAAAAAGTTAGCAAAAGTTACCATCAAATATTAAATGAAATAATTAATTATTTTTCCCTTTTCTAATTATAATATTTTAATAATAAAAAAATGTTAATTTCCAAGGGAGATCTAAGCAAAGTAAAAATAGGTAAGTAAAAATAGAGGGGGGGGGGGGAAATACATTTAATATTAAGATTTTAAGGATTTGACATAAATCTGCTTTTTGCAACCTCTAACTTTCAGGTTCTGTAAACGAAATTTCAATTAATCCTCCATTTATAAATTGGATTTTCCGAATCCCAATAATACGGTACGGTAGCATAATCTGATCAAGTATGAATTAGATATCAACATTAATTATTTTGAAAACTGATTATTTCTAACTACGGTTTCTCTAAAATAGTAACGTACACATTTCATCTGCAGTACAACACTAGAGTAATTATCAATTTAAAGCTTGAAAAAGACCTCTTCTTCCACGTTGATGATCAGATAATGTTTCAAGGGTACTGTTGTGAATCGAACATATCATTTTTAAAAATTTATTTAATTTACAACGACGTTCCCTTAAAGGAAACCTTTGAATAAACGTGATAACTGTATCATCGGATCCCATTTTTTTAAACCTTACATGACCCGTGGGAGTGATCTTTGCCAATCATTATATTACAGAACTAAAAAAGGCATTTTTTTTATTTTAAAACAAATTTAAATCAGAAAACTAAATTAATATTTAGTAATAAAATTGTGATGCAGAAAATGTAACTTGAAACCCTAAAATTAATACTTGAATGAGTGATATAAAAAATTAGCGCTTTTCAACAAGTTGCCAATCTATTCCTCTTTTAGATACTTGTTAATTTGGATTTCAAGCTTTCCTAATAGAGTTCAAAAGTTCATGTTTTTTTTTTAATATTAGTAGACCATAAAAAAACTAACCATTTGCTAACTTTATAACCCCTATATCTTTGCAACCTACAAGTGTAACCATTTGGTATTTTTTACTTTAAAAATTTCTGTAGCAGAATTTTTAGTTTAAAAATTAAAGCTAACATCAGGTGGCAAAGATACAAGTTTTGTAAAATTATCTAGCTAAAGGCTCGAATTTAGTAAAATCAGATTTTAGTAATTACCATCAGCGTCCAGAAATGGATCTTTAGTAGATAGAGGAGAAGAATTGACAGCATTGATATCTCTAGAGGAGTTGAAAGCTCCAGAGGAGTTGAAATCTCCTAGAGGAGGGGACGGAAGAGCGATGATATGGGATTTGGAAGCTTCTAAAAAAATATATTTTACTTATCTTAACTCTTAAATAAAAAGTGTATATGTACTGTACTGTACTGTACTGTACTGTACTCTCTTTTAGCCGATGACTTGGAAGGGGGAGGGGGGCAGGTGCAGTGTGACAAGTAGAAAAGGTGGAAGATACAATTATCTAAAAAATAAAAATGGTAGGATTACCTTGACTATTAGGAGCATTCGCCTTCTGTAGACCATGTACTAAAAAATATGATAAAAATTATTCAAAAACATTTTCTACAACTGTACACCCGTACAACTGCACAACTGCACAACTGTACAACTGAACACCCGTACACCTGTACAACTGTACAACCATTTAATTGTATCGACTACTACCATGAATGCGAATTAATTAGTTACCTTTTCTTTTTCTAAAAATTCGTAGTATATTCTGCTCCAACTTTGATATTCTTTCCTCGGCGTTTAATCTTAAAATAAATAAAACATTATTTCCCTTTCTACTGTCTATTCTATAGTATTAATGTGCTAAGTGTCTGTGTATACAGCGCAAACTTCTCACCGTCTGATTGTCTTCTAATTGTATAAGTCTACTGTCTACTGTCTGAATGTCTACCGTCTTAATGTCTACTGTCTTAATGTCTACTGTCTGCTGTCTGTGTGTCTGCTGTCTAAATGTCTAGTGTCTGAATGTCTACAGTCTAACAGTCTAACAGTCTAACAGTCTAACAGTCTAACAGTCTAACAGTCTAACAGTCTAACAGTCTAACAGTCTANTGTTGAGCTAAGATTGCTCTTCTAATGAAAGTCATTTTAAGGACTGGGACAGAGACAACAGAGAGAGATCCAGCCAACCCAGATGTTGACCTGGTGTTTTATATTTGTATAAGATGATATCTTTACTTTACATGAGAATAATTATCTGAGAAATTTATGTTTCAGATATTATACGATGAGCTTTGACTCCATTGATTCTATAAATTGCTAATAGAACCACCAGGAGAACATCTTTACCATTTATGTATATTCAGTTCTTTAGTGATATATAAGTGTATCTCATAAAATATTTTATATATAAGCCTGATAAGACCTGCCTCTGCAGGAACGAGATCTATCCTGCCATCTATTGCAGATAAAATACATGAGATCCCAGATTAGAACAGAACGTTCTAAAGAATATGGGCGTGGACAAAATGCCTCAATTAGGCGAATCTCTAAGGTTCGTAGATCAACAGTCTACTGTCTACTGTCTACTGTCTTTTGACTTTTGTCTTCTAACTTCTGTCTATTATTACCTATAATGAATTGAATTTTGTTCTAAATGCTTTAAATCTTCCACTGATGTTTCTACTTTTTTATTCAGATCTTTAATCTAAAATATACAATTTCAACTTAAAACTCACAGTAAACATTTCATTTTTAAGATTTAGGATCACAGGAATTAAGAATTTGCACATTTAGGTAATCCTATATTTAAGATTGAACAATTGGGAAATTGTTTAGTTTAGTAGTTAACACTTGGTAGCTGCATTTGGTAAAATTGTACACTTGAAAACTTGTTCTTCTATTGTCATACATAGAAAGTTGTACTTCGAGGAAGTTAATATATAGAAAGTTGTACTTCTAGGAAGTTAATATATAGAAAGTTGTACTTCTATAAGTTAATATATAGAAAGTTGTACTTCTAAGAAGTTAATATATTGAAAGTTGTACTTCTAGGAAATTAATATATTGAAAGTTGTACTTCTAGGAAGTTAATATATAGAAAGTTATAATTCTAGGAAGTTAATATAAAGAAAGTTGTACTTCTAGGAAGTTAATATATAGAAAGTTGTACTTCTAGGAAGTTAATACATAGAAAGTTGTACTTCTAGGAAGTTAATATATAGAAAGTTGTACTTCTAGGAAGTTAATATAAAGAAAGTTGTCCTTCTAGGAAGTTAATACATAGAAAATTTTACTTCTAGGAAGTTAACAAATAGGAAGTTGTACTTCTAGGAAGTTAATATAAAGAAAGTTGTACTTCTAGGAAGTTAATATATAGAAAGTTGTACTTCTAGGAAGTTAATATATTGAAAGTTGTACGTCTAGGAAGTTAATGTAAAGAAAGTTGTACTTCTAGGAAATTATTAATAGAAAGTTGTACTTCTGAGAGTTATTTGAACTTCTATGAAGTTACTTTATAGAAAGTTGTCTTTCTAGGAAGTTAATATATTGAAAGTTGTAATTCTAGGAAGTTAACACTTGGGAAAATGTGCTTCTAGGAAATTAACACTAAGAAAGTTGTACTTCTAGGAAATTAACACTAAATTTGAACTAAAATAAGCATTGAGAAAAAACACTTAGAAAGTACTTCTAGAAAGTTAAGACTTGAAAATTAAATTTTTAGGAACTTGACTCTTAAAAAGTTGTACTTCTACTTATTAGCAACCATTGATATTTGAAGTTTTGAACATCAAAGGTCTACTAAATCAGTTTCTACAAACACGAGTTAGAAAATTAACAAGGAGAGCAATCAGATTCTTTTTAACACTTTACATCCCTGACGAGACATCGAGTTTCAAGTTTAGTCTTGAAAATTGCATTTAAGTGCAAACATTGCAACAAGATACTTTCTCTGCTTTATTGCGTGGGGTGAAATATTTTTTGTAAAATGTCTGAACAGAAAAATATCTATTTTATTCTATTTTAAGTAATTTTACAACGCTGATTCACGGAAATTTATTCATGCCGAAAAAATGTTTAGAAAAAAATTAATGATATTGATATCCATTTTTTTGAAGAAATTGAATTCAAATCTCAAATGTATTTAGCTTTGTATTTTTACCAACGATAGGTTTATTTTCCTGAAAATATTTTTTTGGCTTCCTAATCTCATATTTGAAATATGTTGAAGAAATAAACGAGGAAGGTGCAATACTAATTTTCTTTTCAAAAGAGAGCAGGGAAGATACAATTATCTAAAAAATAANCAGTAAGTAATGTGTTCATAAATTTTGATTCCATTGTTTAAAAATAATTGTTTTAATGTCGTGAATAAATTTTTTACTTGAAATTTGAAACCCAAACAGGATCTTTAGAATGAATTATAGAAGAAACGCATTCATCAAAACTTAAGGGAATTATCAACATAAGTTAAGAATTTATATAGTAAGCAGTTTAGTTCTTTATGCTTAAAAGATTGCTGAAATAAGATTTAAAAAAAATATATCAAGTTTCATATTTCACTCATTTATAAAAAATACTTAAAGGAAAAAATCTATGTTACATATTGAATTGATCTGACTAATATATACAAACAGTGGTGGCAAGAAACAGTAGAATGATTGTAGTCTTCTTCTAAGAATTTAGATTCAGTTACTTGATGTGGTAACTCTTGTATTGTGGATATCGAGATTAATGCTAATTATGATCTTATGTATATTTGCAGATTATTTTGATCTTTTTCGATATTATGTGAAATGCAGAAAACGACCAGCCAATCAGAAGCCATAAAATTCAAGTGTCCACTGTGGTTATCGATATCAAGAGATCGGGATTATGGGTATACAACACAAAGGATCAGGATTATGGGTATACAACACAAAGGATCGGGATTATTATCCAGCTCAGATTTATTTTAAAAATTGTTCTTTGAACATTTTCAGAAATATATCAGTTTACAGTCATAACTTCAGAAATAATTCAAAATTAAAAGGAAGAAAAAAGACGACTATCATTCCAAGTTTTATGGCTTTTGCCGTAAATAAAAAGCTTAGATTGTTATAAAATCTGGAAATCATTTGCAGATTTTTGGTTCCTGCATTTCCCATTCTACAAGAAAGACTATGTTTTAAGGTTATATTATCCTACCTCTTTATTTAGATGAATAATCAATATCCATGAAATCCAGAAAGAAAGAATGCCAATACAAATAAAACTAGAATAAATATTTTCTAAGTCAAGGGTTCTTCATAATAGATAATACTACACAATCTTGTTTCTTTAATTCTTTGACAAAATATTAATATCAATTGACCCTTCATGCAAAGATGGCAATGTCGGATTTACATCGGTTCCCTGAAAAGTGTGAATTAAATACTGGTTATTTCAATTTGTGAGTTCTTCGAAGGAGATCGAGAGGATGGGATATTAAACGAAGGGCTAGTGAGGGAGGGGGAGGAGCTAATGGGGGATTGGGAAGGCGGATAACTGCTTTTCCTTAATTGTTTTCAGACTTTTCCCGTTTTACAAGATGAAACTATAACCTTGAACTTACAAGAATATTTATTTTTATTTGACGGCGGCAACATTTCTAGACTCTAAACACATAGGCATTAGACACTAGACATTGGAAACTTAACACACTAGACATTGGACACTAAACACACTAGAAATTGGACACTAAACACACTAGATATTAGACACTAGACATTGGAAACTAAACACACTAGACATTGGACACTAAACACACTACATATTAGACACTAGACATAGGACACTAAACACAATACAAATTAGACACTAGAAAATGGACACTATAGATAGTCGGCACTACTCAACACAATATTTCTATACATAGAACACTTGACACTGGACATTGGACACTGAACACAGTAGATATTAGACACTAGACAATGGACACTAAACACAATAGACATTAGACACTAGACAATGGACACTATAGATAGAAGGCACTACTCACACTAGACAAATATTTCTATACATAGCACACTTGGCACTAGACATTGGACACTAAACACACTAGATATTAGACACTAGACATTGGACCCTATAGATAGTAGGCACTTCTCACACTAGACACGGACAATACAGACAATAGGTACTACACATAGAAAAATAGACATTGGGCTTTACAGGCACTAGACGTTGGACACTTAACGTGGACTTGTCACTTTCCAAACGTTAAGACAATATGAACTATAGACAATAGGCACGAACAGTTTACATACCAGACCCTTGACAAAAGACAGTAGACACCAGACATTACACTAGACATATGCCACTGAACACTTGACAGTATATACATTAAACAGTAGATCGAAAAATAATATTCTTTTAAAAAAAGGTAAAAACACGTATGATACAAGATTGTTCACCTTTCTTAGGAAAAACACAATCGTTAGAAATAACACATATTTATCTACCCTCCGTCCCTCCTATTATCCCTGATCACGGATCAACCATGTAAACCAAACTAATGTTAGAAAGCAAAAACACATTCCAGACACAAAAATCATTTTCTTATTGATACAAAGATTAGATTAGATCCAAGGCTACCGACTGTAATTTGGCAACAATACCTCAACAGTCGATACTTACATTAAAGATAAGAAAACTCAAGAACCACCCCCCTCCCCGGTAAATGTTTTCAAGAGGAGTGG